AAAGAGCACCTTACCTGGTGATTACTTTATCCACTGCCCATGGCTGGAGGGACTGGAGGTGCTTCATCTGTTTTCTCAAGTCCACTTGATCTCTCACAACTGCCCTCAAAATCCCCCTGCCAGATCACCAATTTTCTAAGTTATTTCATTAAAAGCACAATGCCTGCAAAGCAGGTCCAACAACATTGCAGTTTCTCACATGCAGCCTTTCAGAAGGAGAAAGGTATTTTAGAAAGTTATGCTTCTTATTTCCACTGTTAGAACCAGCTGCTGGGGTACCAGCAAAAGGGGGGGAGATCAAGTCACAGACCCCATCAGCAAGTCTGAGCTGCCTTGATGTGTGCTTAGGAATGTGCACAGTTCTGTACTAGTCAAAGTTCACACATTACCAATTTCACAGAAAATAGAACACCAACAGCTGCAACATTTATTCCCCAAAAAGCTATAAAGAAATATAAAACCCACAAACAACAACATAAATAAAAAGCAGAACAAAATTTATACAATTGCTCAGTAACACAGTTTTCAGTGGGAAGTGCAATTGTAGTATGGGAGTAGTTTAAAATTTATTCTGAAACCATCTGGGACAATAGGAGGCATGGTAAAAGGGAACAGTAAGAGGGAACCAAGTGAAAATTGTGATAAAACCAGCAAGACAAAGTGGAAGAAAGTTCCACTGGATGGGGATAGACTAAGGGAGCAGCATTACAATTCTTGTTTCAGGAAACCCAGTATACAATAAAACAGCATTCTGAAGGAATGCCTTGGGCTACTCAGCAGCAAATAATAACTACTGTGTAACAGGGCAATATTTAGAAAAAAAATCTAGAAAATTATTTGCATAGCTGTGTGTGGCCAGACCTGCCAACAGTCACAAACTCCTCTTTATAATCTCTTTATAATGTTCTGTGTCCCTCTTTATAAATGCTCAATTACAAAGCTAACAATATGCTAAGGAACCATGTATGCTATACTAGAACAGACAACTTAATACGTTTTCTGAGGGATTTTCTAACAAAATGCAGCAGGCAGGTCTACCAACAGGAGATTTTTTATTCCTAAATAAGGGAAACATGGAATGCCTATCATTTCATCATACCAAAGTCTTTTATGTCCATAAAGCATAAGACTTAATCATTGGGAAGTTGAATCCTTTAACTTCAAGGGAACAGTGCTTTATTAGGCACACAGTACTTAGAAAGATACCACCCCAGTAAGATCACATATGCTAGGAAACTACCTTAGGTTTGTTTTTTTTTTTTTTTTTTTTAAATCTGGCAATAAATCATCAATTAAATTTTCTTTCCTGGGCTAATGAGAAAAGTCTTAGCCTTTCAAACGATTTAAGTGTTTTTAAACCAGAAAATGTAAAATATTAAGGATTTCTTTTAAGTTACAGACTTCTATACTCTGAATTCAAGCTGCTGAATTAACAGATATGAGCCATTATTTTGTTTATCCCTTAACAGAGGAAACACTCCCACATTACAGCTATGAAGATTTTCAACATGATCTGAAGCAAGCTCAATCGTTGCATTCCCTGTTATGGTATGTTCTGTTTCTCAGACAAAGCCTTTTTCCAATGCAACATGGAAACATCACTAAAGCAGCATTATTGTTTCATTTCTCCCCCACCAAAGAGCAATCCTTCTCCATCTCCTATCTGCACCTTCTCTCATCAATCCTACATACTTCAATCCTCAAATGAGACACTGTCTTCTCCCACTTCCCTGGCCAAACCTGAAGTGCTTCTGGTGCTTGGTGCTTATTATTTAAACAGAAGAACTAGAACACATAATAACTTCCCTCTGCCTTCTCCCCACCAATAGATTACAAAATCTTGGGGAGGGAAGAGAAGATAGGGATGAATCTTCATCTTCCCTAATTATCCTGCTGGATAATTTGTTTGATCCAACTCACCACAAATACTAATGACAATGCAGGAGATGGCATGGTGCACATGTTAAATGCTAGGTCAATTTACACCAAAGGAGAGCTGCACTCAGTAGGCTTCCAAAACCCAAAAGGGTCAGCCAGACATTACTTCTGTTCTTCTGTTCCAGGAACAAGAGTGAAACCTCAACATTCATTGCAGTATTTCATGTGCAATATTCTCTATTAGGGTTCTGCATTCCTAGAGCTAATGGGCATATACCTGCACCAGGCTTAAATAAAAACATTAAAGTTCTCACTGGCAATTAGGGACAGCTTAGTCTGGACAGCATGCTAATTTAGCATGTAAACCTGAAAATAATATGAAAGATTAGTAGCTGTAGGTAGAAGTCTCACATAGTTCCAACTGTTTGCACTCCACTTGTGACCTCACCACTACAAACTAGCTGTACAGAGCTGCAAAGAAATTAATATTTTGATTTACCTTTTTTAATTAGGAAGTTATTTTTCACATGAAAAAGCCCACAGGTTTATAAATACCCTTTTAAAGGATCATAGCAATTTTGTCACAAAAAGCAGCAGCATTTGTGATGGTCATTTGCTTATATGTCCTCTACTTCTCAAATAAGTCTGCCAGGGCGACCAAGTTTACTCATATGAAGTCTTACAGAAAAAAAAGAAGTTCCCATTCTTTTTTCACCCAGAAACACGCTTCAATTTCACTTTACAAGCAAGATATTCCAAGTTATTAAACTTAAGGCCCCCAACTGTTCACTACAGAATTTGGAGTTGTTCATATGTGAAGGATTTTGATAAAGCTCTTTCTGTCTGAAAGTACAGTTGAACATTTCTAGAACTGCTGATAAAACTGCACAATTATTTTGCTATCAAATCTGAAGTAGTTTGGTTTTCCTAGCCAATGCCTAACTCTTACAAGAACTTTCCAAGATGACAGTTTCTCATATGATATATCAATGGAAACACACGGCACAGCTCAGAACCCAGTCCCCAAACACCATGTAACAAGACTTCTGACATAAAGCACCCACTGAAACACACCTGAAAGACCAAAAGAGCTACTTTGTCCTTACCCTCAAATCATAATGTCAATCCACACACACACACACACCATTCTTTTAGGGGGCAGGGAGGAAAATTGGCATTCGAGTGCATTAGGCCAATTAATTACTTTGATCTGGAGAAAACCATTTTCCATAACACAGCTCAGTGGAATTCTAACCAATCATGATGGTAAAAAGCTGTAATGAAATATTAATATTTGCTAGTCATAGAATACATACCAAACATGTGATAAGGGAGGCATTCAGACAGCTTGAAGCTTTTTAACAAAGCATACTCTCACACTAAAAACTGGAATCTGAGTTCAAAGCTGCTGCAGAAAGTCCTTTTCCCCTTCCTTCCACAGGCTTTGGAGAGCCACCAGTAAGTTGAACACAAAGCAGATCTTTCCATCTCACTTTTAAGATACTTCACATTAGTTTTCCCTTCTCCTCAAGAACTAAAATCACAGAGGATACTAATTAGATTCTTGTCCCAAAGCAGTTTGAGTGTTTTAATCCTCTAAATATGTAAGTTAAACATATCCATTGCATATATATTAGGGAGGAAGAAGTTTTGCCAGCAAAATTCTTTATTCTAACACATATTATTTTATTCTTTAAATGCCAGGAGGTAGATTTCCCTAAAGTAACACACACTGTCGGCAACAGAAGCATTGAAGCCATGGCTATGAACCACTTTAAAGCAGGTGTATACAAAGTACCACTGAACCTTCAGCACAATGGCAACACTTGCTTGCTTTATCTTCCAATTTCATTCATTTTCTTCTTCAAATGTTTGTTTACAGTTATCGAGACCATGCAAAAAAAATGCCTCGATTATAATTGGTAAGAACTTTCAGTTGAAAAGTATGCAGAGTAAGGGCCTCCCTCAACTCAAGCATTCAACCACTACAATTTCAAGGGTCCTAATCACTAATATGCAGTTCAGAGAGAGTGGAGTGGAAAAGAAATGCTGTGAAGTAAAATCCCAATGGCATTCATACAGCTCAACACTAAGTTATGTGGACGCTGTTAAAAACTCATTGTTAAACTTCCCACGTCATTCAAATCCACTTCTGCCGTTAACACCAGAAGGAACACGATGTGCACTTTTCTTCCTACAAACTTAAATTTACACTATTAACTATTGTTAACATAAATATTTTAGTATAGTCAAATAATAGGAGAAAGCAAATCCACAATATTTGCAAACCAGTTTGTATACACCTTATCTTGTATACACCAGAAGTCTCAGTGCTCTGATTTCACAACTCCTAGGCACCACAAACCAGGTTGAGAATGGTTTTTTCATATCCAGGAGACCCTTAATTAAGCAATGTAAAATCTTTACAAGTTCTGCAGCCTTATGTATAACACAGTAGTAAGATGTTACCCTCTAGGCAGATATTATCCTAAAAAGATCCTTTTAAGGTAGGAAAAGTACAAGAAATTTCACACAAGAGATTTCTAGTTCACTGCTATTCACTGAAGTTACAGCTCAGTGACAGTCTAGGAAATCACTAACTACACTCAGTAAACGCAGAAAATAGCATCCCACATTAAATGAGAGGTAAACAAATTACCCATTTGTCATTAAGAGCAGTATCTTTAGCTTTCTTTTCTTTACACCGTGCTTTCCATTACAGCGCCAAGCGCTAGTAAAACGTGTGAATTAGAAATCGGATGTGAAGAAGATGGTAATTCGCTGCTGCAGCAGCAGCCTCAGTCTGGGCACCACGGCTGCTGCTCTGCTCCCTCGCCAGGTGCCTGAGGAGCACGGGCAGGCCGTGAGCACCGCGCCTCCGACAGAACCCCTTCGGACACACAGACACGCCTGTCCTCCAGCACTGACCTCTCACAGCTCTCCTGATCTGGCAAAACAAACGCACGCACCCAGAGGCCAAGGCTGCCGCGGACAGCCCCTCCTGCAGAGCGGCCGGCCCGGCGGGGCTCCCGCACGGCAGCGCCCGGCNGGCCCGGCCGCGCTCCCTCAGCCCGCCGCCGCCGGCACCCGCGCCTCGCCCGGCCGCGCCCGCCGCCGCTCACCCAGCTTGCCGCGGGACTCCTCCAGCTTCTGGATCTGGTTCTCCAGGAACAGCACGGCCACCCCGAAGACCAGCACCGCCAGCAGCTGCAACTTGGGCGGCAGCATAATCCTGAGCAGCCCCATGAGCAGCAGCGCCGCCCGCCCGGGATCACGACATAACGCGGGGCCCGGCCCACGGGGGCCGGCGGGAGCCGCGGGGACGGCGCGGGCGAGGAGGGACGGAGGGAGCGCGGCCGGGGGCGCGGACAGGGCCCGGCGCCGCCGCTCTCACATCGCCGCGCCCCGCGGTGGGCCCCGCCCCGCGCCCCCGCCATTGGGCGGTGCTGCCGCGGCCCCGCCCCCCGCGCGGTCCGATTGGCTCGGTGCGGGAATCTCTCCGCCTCCCCCGCCGCGCTGAGCCGCCGGAGCGGGGCGATGTCCCGCCTACATGCGTCCCTTCCTGATTGGAGGTGCTGTTTGAAGTCCCGCCCAACCTCGTTTGGCACAGGCACCGCTGCCCGTGGGGAAGGCACAATGCTATTGGTCGGACCGGCTGTCAGTCACCGGGCTGGGGGCCGATGTGCCGGTTGGCAGTTCTCGAGAAAGGGGAAAGGGTTTTATTCGGGGTTGTTTCCGCAATGCCGGACCAGCGTTGGGCAACGGTAGTTCCTCCGGCCCCGCTGCGAAGCACTGCACTGAATAGACTAAAATATCTTTGCTCTAGAATTCCAGTAGATATTCTGGGTTAGCAGTTTCTGCTTGCAGTGCCGGGGTCTAGGAGCAAGTCTATGCTCTCCCGCATCAGGCGCTGTATCGGTCACCCGCCATGGGTGAGGTCCTTCCGCGGCCCCCGGCGGCGCTGGTAGGGGCGCTCCGGCACTAAGATGGCGGCGGCGGCCGAGCTGGGCGCGCTGGGGCGGCGCTGGCTCTGCTGGCTCCTGGGGCTGCAGGCGGTGAGAGCCGGACCGGCGCGTTCGCGCTCGGGGCTGAGCGCGGCTGCGCTTCCTGAGAGAGGGAGCGGGTGTGAGGGCGGGGAAGGTGGCGTAAGACGTGTCCCGGGGCGGGAGGCGCGGTCGTTTCCTCCCGCTCCTGCGGCCGTGGCCGCCTCTTTTGCTTTCTATGTCGGAGATTGGTCTCTACTTCTGCCTTCTTTCCTAAACAGTTTGTATTGGTGCTGCATTTTTTTTTTCTACTACAGTAAATTATTTGGTGTGAAAACAAAGCAGTGTAGCGTGTATTTGGAGCCAAAGCTGTTAAGGAGAAAACACTGATGAAATAAGGCGCATCACTTGCTAAGTGTCTGAAATTATCTTGTTCTGATGGGAATTTGCTTTCTGGAGTCTCAGGGGTGTTTTGCAGTCCCAATCAGAGACATTTATTATGGTTAGTGGTTTCTTGTTTCAGGAAAATAGGATAGTTAAGATACTAAAAGTTGAGTAAAAATATTCAGGATAGAGACTTTCTTACCTATATTGTTTCTTTTACCTCTCTGTACTCTTATTCTCAAGGTGTTTTGAGCTTGCTATGTAACCAAAACCGCCTGAGTGAGGAATTATCATGTAACGGAGCCTTTACTTGCTTTCATACACTGTTAGTGTTTTGGTTGGTTCTTTCTCACACACACAAAGCCAAAAAAAAAAAAAATCCTCAGGAGAGAATTGGCCTTACATTCCCGGATTGTTCAGGGATCTGCTGGGCAGGGGGTCAGGAGAGGCTGCTGGCAGTGCCAGTGCCCTGTTGTTGCTGCAAGGGGAGCAGAGGCAGCAGTGACAGTGAAGTGAAAAGATGACAGTGAAGCATCAGAGGGGTGGATGGCAAGCAACAAGGTGCAAGAAAATGGTTTTGGTTGCTACCATCATTGATTTAATAAGTGAGCCATAATTAAAATGTAGCTTTAGCAGAGTTTGGAATGCTCCTTGGGGGCTTTTTGTACTGCTGTGTCATTGTTGTATTTCTTATTGCCAGTATTCCTCAGAAAAGATAAATACTTGAAAAGGGTAAATACTTTGAGAACTAAATACCTTAGTAAAGATCCTAAAAAAAGGCTACATTATTCCAGTAGAACGGGGTTCCAGTTTTGCTTGCCTCAGTGCCCTGTAGGAAGAAGAAGAATAGCATTCTGCCTGATAAAGTAGTGATTTCAGAGTAGCTTTTTTGTGTATTATACTTCTCTGTTCATGCTTTAACTCCTACTTTTTTAGCAGATACAGAGAAATAGAATAATGAGGCACCTAGTATATTTTCTACCACTCCTCAGTCCGTGTTTTCTGTCACAAAAGTGACATGTCTTTCCTTCAGCTGCAGGTTGGCCACTTCAGCAGAGAAATGGGTTTTGTCTCTGCCTAACTTGGGTGTGCTGCACGGATCAGATGGCATGTGAACGTGAGAAGTCTGTTTTACTGAATGACAAACTTAGTTTTTCTTCTGCAGTTCTGTGTTTGGCCCAGCATAATTCTTCTGAGCCTGGCCTGTTTCCATCCTGCCGAGTTTGTGGGTGCCGTCACTCAGCTCTGAGCACAGTGCTGAGTGCTTTGGGTGTAGGAGGTTTTGCCTGGGTTTTTTTACCCACACTGAAAAGCATCTGGGAAAGCCACCTTCTGTCTCTCCACTCTTCATTTCCTCTCTCACTTTTTCCCCTCCAAAGCAGGCAGCTGGAAGGGAAGGTTTTAGCCAGGCGTGAGAAATCCATGTGTAGAAAAGTGGGAATGTGAATTTGCTACAGAAAGACATTGAGGGGCTGGAATGAGCCCAGGGAAGGTCAGTGGAGCTGGGGAAGGGTCTGGAGCACAGGTGCTGTGAGGAGCAGCTGAGGGAGCTCATTCAGGAGAAAAGGAGGCTCAGGGGGAACTTATCAGCCTCTGCAACTGCCTGAAAGGAGAGCGTAGCCAGGTGGGGGTCAGCCTTTTCTGCCAAGTAGCAAGTGATGGGACGAGAGAAGATGGCTTCAGCTTGCACAAGGGGAGGTTTGCATAGGATATTAGGAATAATTTCTTCACTGAAAAGGTGGTCAGGAATGCGCTGCCCAGGGAAGTGGTGGAATCACCATCCCTGCCTGGGAGTGTTCAAAAGGCACGTGAATGTGGCACTTGGGACAAGGTTTGGGGCTGAACACTGTAGTGCTGAGTTAATGACTGGACTCAATGGTGATCTTAGAGGACTTTTCCAACCTTAGTGATTATATGAGAACAAAACCCAAATATCATTTAAGTGTTGTGATTGGTTGCATTATATTTGCTGTCCATAAAAAGCAGAGCTGGTGTTTTACATAGAAGCCATGGAATTGAATGGCCTGCTGATAAATCAGAATTGCAGGTTTTTATCTGCACTTCCACTTAATAATATGTGCAATTTTCCTGTAACATCAATGCAAACATGAAATTAAAATCCTACCTGTATGTCTTGTTGAGCACTTTGGTTCATTTCATCACTTCCTGGTTGTTTTTCCTGAGCTTAGCTGTTGCATTACTTTCCACGAGTGTTTTCAGTGATCCGAAATTTTCTGAAATTCTTTTTGAAGAGGAGGCTTTGGAAGGCCATAACCATGTGCATTTCAGCTGATTCATTACCTTTGGGTTTCCTTCTTAACTTGAATTTAGCAATAGGAAAGCAGTAGAGCTATCAGAAATGTATACAAATTAATTTTGGCAGGTCTGATACCTTGAAATGTACATATGACGAGTGTCTGGAATTCCCTGGTGGGTTAAGGTGATGTTTTGAACCCTTGGGCTGACCATTTAGGCATTACTGTAAACCAGTCACAAGAGACTGACTTGTTCTTTCTAATCATTACAGCATTTAAAACCATATTTTAAAAACATTAATACTAAGTGTAACATTGTATTGACTTTCAGGTAAGTGTTTATGGAGCACAGTTGTCATCAGAAGCTTGCAGAGAGCTGGGCTTCTCCAGTAACTTGCTGTGCAGTTCTTGCAACCTTCTTGGGCAGTTCAATCTGAATCAGCTGGATCCGTTCTGCAGGGAGTGCTGCCAAGAGGAAGCTCAGCTGGAAACCAGAAAGGTGAGTTTTGGACCAAATCCCTTGTGGAATAATTTAACGTGTCATGTTTATGAAACTTTTCGTTTAAAAAAATGCATGAGAATCTGGGTTATCACCTCAAGAGGAAAATGCAGCAGCTATTCCTAGCCCAGTATACATCCACAGGGTCTAGATTTGCAGAGTTGCCATAGTGCTGTGAAATAATGTCCCTGTACCAGCAGGGGAGTCTTTGGTTCTTTGGCAGCCCTTCTCTGGTGTTGTGTGACCATATTTGGGAACTATATCCAGCTTCTTTCTAAAGGAAGATCCATGGGATTGGAAGAGGGCAGAAGAGGAGGACAAGGAGAGTGGTGCTTGATGACAGCTCCTGCTTGGTCCCTGACCCGTAGCACAATGGTCAGGATAGCTGAGTTCAGTCCTGGGCAGCAAAAGGTGCTGCAGCCTCCAGGGCAGTTCCTGGAGTGGCACAAGCCTGAGGGAAGCAGGACTGCTCTATTCCATCCTGCAGCAGTGAGAATGCTGGGTATTTTGGGAATGATCTCTAAGAGCTCATGCTGTGCTTCCATCTGTTTAAGGCAAAACCTTCCCTTTATCTGTAGTAAGTAAATATCTGTGTTCCTTAAGGTATGATATCAATGAAGAATGTTTAGAGTTCTTGAAAAGAATACATGTTTTCTAAGATGTGGTAATTTAAGAGTGTTCTAGAATGTAGTGAAGACAAATTAATCATCAAGAAAGTAGAGGTTTCAAGGATGAGAGGTGCTGAAATTATTTTTAATGGCTGGGAGATAGTGAAATAACTGGCATAATGAAACTAATGAGGAAATCTAGCAGGTTTTTCCTGTCAATTAAATTCAGCCTAATATTTAAAAAAGAAAGTCTGCCTTTAATTTTTAATAAAACCACTGATTACAGTGTTAGGTACAATAAGTATCAAGAAGCATATGTTTGAGATTGGCAGAGAATTCATAGTTTAATTAGAAGCTTCCTAATATTGACAGACTTTAAGTTGTAAATTTTATGCATTAACAAAGCAATTTTGCAATACAATCCTTATGGGACTTGATACCTAAGGCTTTTTCTTTGCTAGATACCTGAACCTTATAAAGGAAAATTTGTCTCTGGGGAAAGCTCCAGTTCTTTTACATGTGTATGCATATATATATAGAAGTATGTACATATCTGTACATATGCAAACACAAAACCTGAGGTTTCAGAGTAAAGTCTAATGAAATGTACTAACAGGGAGTGGCAGAATAGAAAGGGTGTCCAGCATGTTCAGTAACAGTTGTGCTGGC